GTCATGTGGGTGGCGACCAGTCAGTGTGTCTCTCTCACATCGATGTTTCTCTCTCTCTTCCCCACTCTCTCCCTCTTACTCTATCTGAAGATAAATGCAAAAATGTCCTCGGGTGAGGATAAAAAAAAATTGTAAGAAATCACCATAAATTTACTACAACTAAATTGAATTTAGCTAGATTACAGAATACACAGCTCGATATATGAAAGTAAATATTACTTGTCTATGCTGGCAACTAATATTTAGAAAACGCAGTTTAAAGACAATTTGTTATGATAGCAACAAAACTGAGGATATTTACTAACAAATGTAATGAGAGCTTTACAAGACCTCTACACTGAAAACTATAACTTTTCGAGGGAAATTAAAGAACTAAACAGACAACTAGCCCTTGTTCATGGTTTGGGAGACTCTATATTATTTAGATCATTCCAGGGAGATTTTCATTTTTAGAATTGGTGGAGTTACAGTAGAAATTCCAGCAGGCTCGTTTGAGGACAATTGACAAGTTGATTTGTTGGCCAGGACGGATTTACGGAAGGTTGACGACATGCAGTGCCTGCCGTCGGGACTTACTGTGAGGCTGCGGTGACCATGACAATGTGGACAGACTTTTAGGTCACTGGAACAGAACAAAGCTCAGAAATAAACCGACACCTGTTTGGTAAATTGACTTTTGACAAAGACTTCAGGATAAACCACTGGGGAAAACTAATCTTCTGGAACAACTGGATGTTTGTACGGGAAGTGATGAACCTCGATCTGACTTCACTCCGGACACCAAAATCAACTGGCGATGATGGGTCGTTGCTCTAAACACAAGACTTAAAAAGTATGAAACGTATAGAAGGAAACGGAAAATCTGTGTGAAGTCGTGTTGGGGAAAGAATCCTTAAACAGTACACAAAAAGCACAAACCATAAAAGGAAAAAATATATATACATTTTAATCACAAGTAAAGTTAAAAGTTTTTCTTCTTTAATGAAAAGGCACAACAGAGTAGGAGAAAATGTTTACAAAGCATTACCTGTCAAAGGCTCGTATCCAGAATACATACACAACTGAGTTATAAACTCAGTGAGAAAAACAACCCAATAAAAATAGGGTAATGTGCCCAGCTCGCAACCTGGGCATGTGCCCTGACCAGGAGTCAAACCAGGACCTCTCAATCCATGGGACAATACTCAATCCACTGAGCTACACCTGCCGGACAATGAAAACATAGTTAAAAAAAAAAAAAAAAAGTAGGTTAATGAGTTCAACAAACACTTCATAAAACAAAGTATATGAATAAGCTCAATGTCACTACCTTATCAGGAACATGTAAATCAAGTTTCTATAAGTTACTACTTTATACTCTAGACTGGATGAAGTTAAAATTACTAACAATACATGGGCCCAATCCCAGGGGAAGGGACATGCAGTATTTGTGGAGAACAACTTGAACTCATCTACAGGGTGGGGCAACTTAGGTTTACAGGTGATCGTATGGAAAATAGTGCATTAATACATAAGAACACAAGAATGAACTCGTTTCGCAGACTCACTACTGTAAACCCACTTTTGCCCCTCGCTGTATTGCTGGTGGGAATGTAATATTGTACGGCCCCTAGAAAAACAGTTTGGCAGTTTCTAAAATGTACATATACCGTATAACCCAACAGTGCTAGGTACGTACCCAGGTGAGATGGAACTAGATCCCCGTGTAGACTTGTATATGAATGTTCACGGTAGCCTTATTCATAATAGCCTCAGAGTGGAAATAACCTGTTACCTGTCTGCTGGTGAGTAGATAACTAAAGATCCATATTGTGGAATACTACTCAGCAGTATAAAGGAATGAACTCTGGACACGCACACAGCAACATGGATGAATTTCAGAAGCATCCCGCTAACTGAGAAGTCAAACACGTACTCTGTGGTTTTGTTTATGTGAAATTCTAGAAAGGCCAGAGCCTCAGGGACTGACCATACAGAGGCAGGAAGGAACTTTTTGCGATGATTGGAGTATTTCGATTATTTGTGGTTACCAGACTGTAGACCGTGTGTCGAAGTTCTTCAACGTATACACTTAAAATCGGTGATTTTCTTGTACCTCAGTCAAGCTGTTGGGGAAAAGAACCCATGTGGCTAGGGAATGTCTGTTTGCTTTTATTTATATATACTTTCAAATGTTTCAGTTGATTTCCATGGGTGTCTTGAGACTGCTACATCTTGTTTAAAAGAGTTTGCCCCTGGGGAAATAAAAACAAACTTGCTGCCCTGGCCAGTTTGGCTCAGCGGTTAGAGCGTTGGCCTGTGGTCCGGAGAGACCCGGGTTCGGTTCCCGCTAAGGGCACGTACTTCGGTTGCAGTTTGTCCCCGGCCCTGGTTGGTCGTGTGGGTGGCAGCCACTCGATGTATATCTTCACGTCGATGTTTCTCTCTCTCTCTCCCTTCCTCTCTCTCCCTCCCACTCTATCTGTACAAAAAATGGAAAAATATCCTCGGGTGAGGATTAAAAAAAAAAAAAAAAACTTGCTAAAGGGACAGTGATGAGGCTAACGGGCTGCCATGGGTGGGCAGGGACAGCTTGGCGGAGGGAGGGTTCGAGCAGGCGCGGACAGAGTAAGTTCACTTGAGTCGAAGTTGTCTTCTTCTGGGCCTTGCACGTTCCCTACTGAATTCATATCTAGGCGTTTTTATCGTTTCTGCTGCTATTACACATGAGACCTTTTCTTACTGTGTTGGCTGATAATCCTTAAATTCGTTTCTTGTCTCAGAGCGCCCTCTGTTAATTCCTCAGGGGCAGTACCTGCAGATTGTATGCACCGTCTTAAAGCTCTTTATTCCGCACTGTGTTCCGGCCGTGCTCAGCTGATATATTTTGATCGTTTTTACTGAGGCTAAGCAAATCCTCGCTGTGTGTTAATCATTACTTTTCCTAGCTCAGTAACACCAAAATGTAAGTGAGACTCGGCAAAGACCTAAAGTGGAAAACCCAGATGCATATGCAGATTCACGTAACAGAATTTTAATTTTACTGTTCAGTAAAGCAAGTACTTAAGAATGCTGGCTGGCGATTTAAAGCTACCCCTGGTGGGTGCAAGGTGCGAGAAATGAAAGCAGGTATTCTTAAATCTCACTAGCAGCTTAAGAAGCAATGTCTGGTAGCAGTTGATTTGCCAGGTATAGATTAGACACGGACGTCTTGGCAACGTTTATTTTCATTTGAATTGAAGGGGTTCTTTTTATTCGATGCCTGTCTTCATTTAGTCTGCTTTTTCGGTAAGTGCGGTGTCAGAGACAGGATTTGAGGGCTCAGCATCCTGTCAAAATGCAACCATCAGTAGCTGGTGTTCATGACGTGACCAGCAGATGGCAGCAAAATGCTTTGTTAAAATGTTCTTGCTTGGCAACTTCCCCCCACTTACATAGTAAATAGTTACTATAAATTTTACTTTTAGAGAAGACCAAGGCAGGTACAAGATCCTTATTTAACTAGATCAAAGTCATATTACCATTGCGTACTGTTAGTTTATATTTAATGCTTTTGGAAATTTAACTGATATAGCTTCAAGTGCTAACTTTTTCCAGGTTTTGTGAGCAGCTGCTGCTTCTTCAACTGAACTTGCCTTTTCTGTAACACTGTTATTCTGCATGCAACCCTCTGCCCCCTGGCCTTTTCTGTCATGTTTCAGAAGTAAATAACATTTTACTAGACAATACACGAATGTTTAATCACACAACTTTGGAGACTTTTTGTTTATTTGTTTGAAAAACACTCATGAATGTTTCTCTTTCATGACCAAACCAAACATTAAGGGTGACTGTATAAGAAGAAAGCCTTTTAATCCTAGGTCGTTAGGTCTGAGCAGTTCATCTTCACAAGGAATCGCAGGCCTCCTGGAAGTGACCTGCATAGCGTGGGAGACAGCACCCAGGACGTCCGTGGGGTGAGAGCCTGCCCGAGGGCTCGGGACAGAGTTTGTGACCCAGGAGAGCGGCAGCTAAATCACTGTGGTCCCCCCCCGCCCCACCCCCCGTGAAATCAGTCAGTTCAGGAGAGGGTTTGGGAACTTTTGTAGAAAATAATATTTATACAGTGCCGAGGTTTCTTCCAGTTTTTCACACAATGTGCTGTTAAATCCTTACAGACTCCAAAGCTCTTGTAAAACTGAGAATCCGGGGTAGGCTTTTCTCTTACGAAAACCTGATTTATCCAGATCACTTAACATCTATCTTACGTGCTTTGGAATTTTTACAGACCACAGAAAGCCTTTTTTTTTTTTCCCCCTTCACTTACTACACCCTAAAACAACACGGTCTGCCAGACCACAGCGCATCCGTCATTGAGAGCAGCAGATGTTGCTACACATGCTTGTCCTTAAGACTAAGAAGCACAGGAGACAATAAAACAAAGAGTTAGAGTTGGAGAAAACCTCGAAACAATGCAGACTGGGGAGCTGGGGCGGCCCAAGGCAGCTGGTTCCGCCCGCCAAGACGGGACGTGGTGACCCCCAACTCTGTTCTTTTTTTTTTTTTTTTTTTTTATCCTCACCCGAGGACATTTTTCCATTTTTTGTACAGATAGAGTGGGAGGGAGAGAGAGGAAGAGACAGAGAGAGAGAAACATCGACGTGAAGGGACACATCAAGTGGCTGCCACCGCACGACCAACCAGGGCCGGGGACAAACTGCAACCGAAGTACATGCCCTTAGCGGGAACCGAACCCGGGTCTCTCCGAACCGCAGGCCGATGCTCTAACCGCTGAGCCAAACCGGCCAGGGCTCTGTTCTTTGTATGTATCTTCCAAACACCCCGTGAACCGGGGCTGGTAGCTTTCTATCCAACTTCGTTTCCCATGAAAACTTGACTTCGGTTAAGCTTAGGAAAAGAGAGCTTGATGCTGGTTGTGACGGTGCACGTGGGTCTGAGCGTGGCTGACCGTCTGTGCAGGCGGAGGGCCTGTGGCTCTGTCTCAGCGTCCGCTAATGTTTTCGTTTTGGTTTTGACTCTAGCCGACCCGACGGTTAAGGACTTGATCGGAGGCTTCACGGCCCTTCACTACGCAGCCATGCACGGCCGGGCCCGCATCGCCCGCCTGATGCTGGAGTCCGAGTACCGGAGCGACATCATCAACGCCAAGAGCAACGACGGCTGGACCCCGCTCCACGTGGCCGCGCACTACGGCAGGGACTCCTTCGTGCGGCTGCTGCTGGAGTTCAAGGCCGAGGTGGACCCGCTCAGCGACAAGGGCACGACGCCGCTGCAGCTCGCCATCATCCGGGAGCGCTCCAGCTGCGTGAAGATCCTCCTGGACCACAGCGCCAACATCGACATCCAGAACGGCTTCCTGCTGCGCTACGCCGTCATCAAGAGCAACCACTCCTACTGCCGCATGTTCCTCCAGCGCGGCGCGGACACAAACCTGGGGCGCTTGGAAGACGGGCAGACGCCCTTGCACCTGTCCGCCCTCAGGGACGACGTGCTCTGCGCACGGATGCTGTACAGCTACGGCGCGGACACGAACACGCGGAACTATGAAGGGCAGACCCCGCTGGCGGTCTCGCTGAGCATCTCCGGCAGCAGCCGCCCGTGCTTGGATTTCTTGCAGGAAGTCACAAGTACGTGTATCGTTATTCCTACTCTTGCGTTCGTGAACGTGTCTATCTTCTGAGGGATGTAAGGTGTGGTTGCAACTAAACATAAGCAGACATTCATGATCCCCATTGGCCCTGCCTGGTAAGTGGTTCCTCATCCACCCGGAATGAGAGGCCGCGCTGTGTCCCGGGACGGCCCAGCAGGTCAGTGTGTTCCGGAAAGTTCCCAGGGGCCGGAGGTCAGGGTGAGAGGAGAAATGGGACGAGGACAGAAAGAGGAGGGTTTTCTCCGCACTGACGGAGATGTCATTTAGAGCAAGGCGTTTCCGCGGCTCCTAACCCTGGTCCCCCCGGGCTGCCGTAGACGTCAGGTGGAGGAACCCGGAGTCTGGGTCTGGAAGGCGCCCGGCGTTGGAGCTCTGGGTGCCTCGCGGCCGTGTGAACACGCGTGAGAGGGAACCGCAGAGTGTGTTTAGGGGCCTGGCGAAGCAGGTGGCGAGAAGAGGTTTGCTGTCGGAAAATTTGGGGGTGTCTTCTCTCGGACCTGGCCTGTTTTTGTGGGGGTGCTGTTTTTTGTTTTGTTTTTTTCCCAAAAATAGTCGAAGCGTCTGACCCCCCGTGTGGTGGTGCCCGTGGGGGTGTGTCACTTCCGACAGGAGCGTTACTTGTGCGGACACGGCCACCCTGCACCCGGCTTCCTCGCGACCAGTTGAGTCCGTGTCTCAGACTTAACATCCAACCTAAAGCCAAAGTCTGTTAAAAACGTTAGGAAAGAAGACATACGTCCTGGGTGCGGGTAGTGGAGGCACGGGGCCGGCGTGGCCTGCGGATAAGTAATCCGCTCCCCCTCGAAACTGAGCTTGGCAGTAAGACTTTTTTTTGAAGAAGGGACATGTAGTTAGAATCCTGTGTGTTCATAAGGAAGAAAAGATGAAATCATTACCACTATTTAGACTAAAGCAGACCAAGACATCACACTTGGGACCTGACTCGTGCTGGGCAGTAGAACTTGCTGTTGGGGACGGTGTCTGGGCTGCCCAGTGCGGACGCCACCGGCCCCTGTGGCTTCTGAGCCCTTGCAGTGTATAGCCGACACCAGCCGGAGACTGGGCTTCCACTGACCCAGTCAGCCTGCGTCGGCGCCGTGCCTGGTGAGCAGCCCTGTGCTCCCGGGCCAGGCCTGCCTGCCTTGGGTAGTTACCTGGGGCCTTGGGGAGGTAGCTGGGGCCTTGGGGAGGTAGCTGGGGCCTTGGGCAGGTACCTGGGGCCTTGGGCAGGTACCTGGGGCCTTGGGCAGGTAGCTGGGGCCTTGGGCAGGTACCTGGGGCCTTGGGGAGGTAGCTGGGGCCTTGGGGAGGTACCTGGGGCCTTGGGAGGTACCTGGGGCCTTGGGGAGGTACCTGGGGCCTTGGGCAGGTACCTGGGGCCTTGGGGAGGTAGCTGGGGCCTTGGGGAGGTACCTGGGGCCTTGGGCAGTACCTGGGGCCTTGGGGAGGTACCTGGGGCCTTGGGCAGGTACCTGGGGCCTTGGGGAGGTAGCGGGCCGTCGGCCGGCAGGTGGTCCCTTGCAGAGAGCGCACCCTGACTTCCTGTCCAGGCTGCACTGTGGGGAGAGACGGCAGTGGAATTCCAGCTGCTGCTTCTCGGTCACTTTCTCGCAGTCTTCGCGCTGGGCTGGTAGGTCACTCTTGAACCTGAGATGCGGGTTCCGGCGTGAGATTGTAGCCTGTGGAGTGTGTCGTTTTCATCGTAAACTCCGGGCACCTCTTTGTTGTGTTTTCACGCCTACGCTGGAGGCGCTTGGCGGATTGGTATGGCTGTCTCCAGGGAGGCGAGCTCCGTGCGCCGACGCCCCAGCCCCCTTTGCTGACTGCTTTGCTCCGTGCTGAGCAACAGACTAGAGCTCGGCCGTGGGGACTCCAGCCCGTGGCTCTGCCACATGTCAGCCGTGACCTTGGGCAGGTTACCTGGCTGCTCTGTGCCTGTGTCCTCGTCTTAAAATTAGGGTAATTGTGTCTACCTGTGGGCTTGCCGTGAGGATCAAATGAGTTAATGTTTGTAATGTACTTAACACAGTGTCTGGTGCATTTTAAGGGCTGTGTGTGTGTGTGTTCTTTTAAACAAACATTTAATTAAATGAGGGTGGGTGAGCAGCAAGGGCGAGCTACCAAAAGGGCGTCCCTCCCAGTCTCATTCTGCCTGAGCTCCCTATTTCCAGCTCCGAGGACTGTTGTGCAGGCTGCGTGTGGGGATACAGCCGCCGGTGGTCGGGCGGCTCCCGGCCCAGCCCTGAGTGATGCTGGAGGGCAGGAATGTCCAGTCAGAAAGGTTCACTGTACCTTTAAATATGGGGCAGAGCCCCGGCTGGTTTGGCTCAGCGGTTAGAGCCTCAGCCCTCGGACCAAAGGGTTGCGGGTTTGATTCCTGGTCAAGGGCACGTACATGGGTTGCAGGTTGGATCCGCAGCCTGGGTCTTGGGGGAGGCAACCAATTGACGTGTCTCTCTCACACCCATGTTTCTCTCTCTCCCTCCTTCCCTCTCTCTTTATAAAAAAAAAAAAAAATCAATGGAAAAATATCCTTGAGTGAGGATTCACAAAAACAAAACAAAACAAAAAAAGTTCTGGGCAGATAGAAAAATCAGCCGGGTCTGTGTCCTAGTGTCTGCGCCCCTGGAGCAGGAATGGGGTGTGTACCGGGTTGGTTCTGGGGAGTCCTAGTGTCTGCGCCCCTGGAGCAGGAATGGGGTGTGCACCGGGTTGGTTCTGGGGAGTCCTAGTGTCTGCGCCCCTGGAGCAGGAATGGAGCTTGAACAGGGTTGGTTCTGGGGAGTCCTAGTGTCTGCGCCCCTGGAGCAGGAACGGAACGCGAACAGAGTTGGTTCTGGGGAGTCCTAGTGTCTGCGCCCCTGGAGCAGGAATGGAGCGTGAACAGGGTTGGTTCTGGGGAGTCCTAGTGTCTGCGCCCCTGGAGCAGGAACGGAGCGCGCGCCGGGTTGGTTCTGGGCAGTGCGTGGGCCGACCGACTGGTCTCGGGAAGATGGCAGCCCAGCAGGCCGCGTGCGGCGGCTCCCGGACACGGAGGACCTCTGTCTGCCAGGGCTGCAGCCAGCTCCCTGTCTTCTAGCGCCTCGGCTAATTCATTGCTTCCTGACACTCCAGTGCTGTGTCCTGCCAAGAGCAAACTAAGTATTTCCGCTTCACTGGTGCAGTATTTATGACGACTTTCTTTGCCTCGTGAATAATTCTGTGCTGGAAGGACCAACTGTATGACTCTCTTTGGAGAGCTGTCTACGGAAAGCAGAGTGGGGGGAGGCAGGGTGGTCAGGGGGTCGGTCCCACCTGTGAGCTCCTTCGGCTCCGAGGTCCAGGGCGCCCCGCACCGCGCCCTTGGCTCCGGGCCTGGGAACTGCCCCTCCTGAGCCAGAAGGACAGCGGTGGCCTGTGATCGGGACCCTTGGCCGCAGGTTGCGCCATTTCGCTAGAAGCAGGTTGTTTAAACCGGAAGAGCTCGAGAAAATCGTCATCGTGGAACTGAAAAGCCGCGGCGAGTTTTAGAAAAGGTGCCACGGAAACGCAGACGCGCGGCGCAGAGCGGCAGAAGGGCGGCTTGGTCCTAGAGTGGCGTCTTTGTTGATCTAAGCGGAGGCGAGGCCGCGAGGAGCTGCTGCCTGCCCCCTGCACAGGCTCCCGGAGACCTGCCTCCTAGACCCCCGCCGCCTCCAGAAAGCCGGCCGAGGAGAGCAGCCGCTTCCTCCTGCCCGGGGCAGCCAGCCCGGCCGAGAAGGGCCGCAGATCGGACCTGAAGGATGGAGGTCGTTTCATAGAAGGGACGGTTGATAAGAAGCCACTTTCTATTCTTTTAGTGTTTTCACATGACAGGAAAACAATATGTGGACCCAGTGCCTAACGGGACGACAGCAGAGAACAGTGAAGGCTTGGTGGGGGCAGGTGGGAACCGGAGGCAGGACGCGGGAGCCGGCGCTCTGGGGGAGGTCCCCTGATGGGGGTCCATCGAGAGCCGAGGCAGCAGGCCCGGGACTCAGGTGAGGCAGGGTCAGAGCTGGGGCAGTGCAGGTGCGCATGGTTAGTTGAGCAGTGTAACCCGTGCCCAGCATGTGCGCACCCACCATCGCGGGGCCTAGAGGGTCACAGAATTCCGGCGTACGACTGGGGTGCAACATCTGCAGCCCAGGGAAGAACAGAGATTGGAGGAGTGTCCGCCCCCTTCAAATGAGAAAGTCTACACCTGTGCACAAGAAAGGGACACGCACAGAAAACAAACGATTCCTGGAAGTGTCTCCTGCGTGCAGCTCCCCCCGGGCCTCGGGGCTCACCCTAAGGACTCGTTACAATCCGGTGCTGTTTTCCCCTACCTCCCCTCCGCTCCACGTCAACTCTTCTAGTCAGCTGCGGATGAAGGCGTTATGCAGAATATGAACTCTTTTAACAAAGAGAGAGGAATTCCAGAGAAAGCCGAACCTCAGGCGTTGACTAGGAAGAACTTTTCATCTTATGGGGGGAAAAAGATGGGATTTTAATCATCTGCGTGCCTGGGGTTTTGTTCCGAGAGAAGTCGCCCCCGCCCGCGTGCTCACGCACCAGGGCTGCACGCGCAGGTCAGGGCAGCTTCGGCCGCCAGGGACCGTGCCCTTGTGCAGACGCGGAGGCCGCGGGGGCCATTGCAGAGGACACAGGTCCGAGCCCCTGCTGGAGAAGGGTGCTCGGAAGGCCGCCCCCCTTCCATGTTGCACGGGCTCAGTTATTTGCAGGAAAAGGGCCGTGTTGTGCCGCCTGCCTAGGAAATCCATCCAGTGTAAGGCTTTGCCCTTCGTGTAGAAGAGGGTAGTGGCCAGCAGACCAGGTGCGCTCGGGCTGGTACAGGCAGCGAGATCCAGGGCCACTGGAGCGGTCAGCGCGTCACCTTCTTCAGTGCCGGTCCTCACCTTCCCCCACCGCATGGGGACTACCTCTGCAGAAACCATCACCGCCTAATACGCCCCTTGGTTTTAACAGAGGAATCGT